TGTTTAGGTCAAACAGTAATATTGGCTCTACTCTATAAACAAGGTAATAAGGAGAATATCCTGTTACTTTCTGAATCATGATCCACTCTGCCCAGAACACAGAATGTGTGTACTTATACTAATGTCCAATATTGTCTCCTACTGTCTTTACAATTGCTTCCTGTACATCCAAGTGTTTCCACTTAATAATTCTGTTTGTACAAGAGTTATACACAGAAATCTGAATATGATTGATGTGGTATTGTTCTTGCAAATAGTCTAACACTATAATGTAAGACATTCTATTGTCTGTTACAAGCTCAGAACATGCCCTGTATTAGTATAGAAGTTCCTCAAAGATGAACTGTCCTATTGTCCTTCTGTTCTCTGTACAAAGTATACAAAACTCTGGATACCCTGATAATGAACAGTATGTATACACAATATATCAGAATCTTCCTGCTTTCAGTATAACCTTTGTATCTATATGGATCTTTTGGAAAAGCAGTACAATCTCCAGAATACTTGGTAGAATCAGTACTTGTTACATCTGCCAAGTCTGACATGTATGACAAGTCCTAATGAAGTACTTAATGTCTTCTACAAGTGATGGCCACCAGAACCAATCCAGTAAACAGGCTTGTACTGTAAAGATTCTCTTGTGTCCTAAGTCTTTGTGTACTATCCTAACCAACTCCTATCTCCTGTCCTTATCTAACACAATCTGATACTTTCCTTCAGAACCTTGACACTAAATCTTGTTGTTCCATACAAAGAACTGTACTGTGTATTATATAAATGTCAGAAAATCAGTATCTGCAATTCTGCTTAGTTTGTAGAGTAAGCTAAGATACTCTTTCACAGTAAGAGGCAAGGTTTTGGTAGGCTTGTTCTCTCTAGTGTTGTTGTGGGCTCTGGTCAAAAACTCCCCCTCCTATTCCAAATAGGAAAGAACTAACTACATGAAGAAAGTGATTATGTAATCCAAAGAATTAATAAAATTAAGAAGATCTGATAGTAACTAAAATCAGAACTCTTCACCTCCCTAAGCTTTAAATAGTGACTGTTCTCAGTCACTTGCTTTAAGAAGCAATAATGAAGAGTAAGTATAAGGAGTGTGAGTAAGGATAAAAGGTATTAATCAAAGTAAGATAAAGAAACAAAGAGTGTGAGTCTCAAGTAAGAATGAGTGTCCATAAAAGAAAGGGGTATAAGGGAATGTTAGAGTAAAGAGAATGTAACCTGTACTAAGGCCAAAGGCTTGCCAGACCAATCCTCTCCAACTCTAACATAGATAGTAGTAGTAGTAAGTAATAGGTTTCATCTAACAGCTGCTCAGGTCTTAACCTGACACTTTCAGTTCTAATCTACTGAGTCTGTCAAGGTTAAAATCTGATTACTGTCCTTAAAATCCTTTGTCTTACACTCAGTTAATGTGAAGAACAGTCTCCTGATTATCATGTTGAACATTGTGTCCTTTACTACATAAACTAGCATTACTATTAATATTCTACCTACTAATACCTTGAGTCTCAGAATGACACCTTTGATTGTAATTGATCCTGTATTTGCTAGCCTGAGGTTTGTCTACACTTACTCCTTTAGTACTCCTAAGTGTTTCCAAACATCTTTACACATTACATTTATAACAGCTCCCTAGTCTAGTAAGCTCTTTGTCTCCAATTTGTTGTTCAGCTTTACTGTTACTAGCCTGACTGGTACACTTCTAGCCTTGTTGTTACTAACTAGGGTACCTATCTGACACTCCCTTACTCAACACTACTCTGATTCAACAGCTTCTAACATCCTCCTACATAATCTGCTTGTGCTTAGTATTCTTACTAGGCTTGACTGATTCTTATTGTCTTAGTACTTAATTCTTACAGATACACTTCTGACCTTGTTCATCTGGCTTACTACTGTCCTTCACAACAGCCTCTACTACTCATCCATTACACTATTCTCCCTTGTCCTTACTAGTACACTTCCAGCCTTGTTTGTCACACTCACTCCTTTACTCTACTCTTGTTCTTGTTCTCTAGCTTGAATCTGACTCAATCTAACATAATCTACTACTTTCCTGTACAATCTACTTATTCTTAGCTCTGCTACTAGGCTTGACTGTGCTTTGTTGTCCTTGTATACAACACTTGTACCTGTGTACTAATCTTCTCTACTGTCAGTCCTTGCTTCCTTACTTGTCTCTTCCTCCTCTGTCTTTACAGGTCCACTTCTAGCCTTGTTTAGCATTTTGTCACACATCTGAGTTATCCTTATAAGCTTAGCTGTATACTAGCACTCAAGCTCTAGAGCTATTATAAACAACTTGTAGTGTGTTAATGTGACAACACTGTCCATCATCCAGTCTAAGACCTGCTTAATAATCTTGCTCAACTCAGTACTTTACTTTAGTCTGACTTTGACTGGCTTTGTGTTAGCCTTTATAGTCCTTACCTTCTCTCTTTATCTCTTCACATCCCTTAAGTATTCCTCCAACCTTGTCACCTCTGTATCCAAATCTGCTTTAAGAACAGCTTTGTACTTTTCTCTCTCACTTGTATTTGACCTATCTTTTGCTTCATCAATTGTGTCTACTGTGAACACAGGCTTGTCTTTGTAGTATTAGTCTATGTACTCCTTCAACATTGCTCCCTCTATACTAGCTGGCACAAATGCCCTACTCATTAACACAATCTTCTGCCCTAACCTCATACACTTCCCCCTCTGAGTGTACTTGCTTACTGTCCTACAGTCACATACAAAATGTCCTTACTTTCTACAAAAGTTGTAAGTCCTCTTGTGCTTCAGGTTGGATTTTACAGAATTGGTGGATTGGTTGGTTTTACATACTTAATTCATTAGTATCTTCCTAGACTTGCTTACTTTGTTAACCTAGACTTGTAACTCTTTAAGCTTCCTTACAATCTTTACATACTTGTCTCCTACTTCTTTCTCTAGCTTCTCCTTTAGTAACATTACTGTCTAGTCTTAGCCTGCCTCTGTCTGCCCTGCTAGAAGAATGTGGTCTGCTAGCCTAACTATATTAGTAAATTTGAACAGCTTGCTTGTATCCTTGTTCACATAGAGAATCTCTAGTTATTGTGTCAGGTTTGTCCTCAGTGTCCCTCTGATCCCTCTCCAGAACTCACAGTCTAACTTGTATACTAACATCTTCCCTTACTCCTTCAAGTACTCTACTTGCACCTAAAACTTGTAGTAGTAGTAGCCAAACTCTGTCTACACTGTCATTTCCTTCTCACTCTATACATTAACTAGTTATGTAATATTGGCTCTTGTATAGTATTGACCATCAATCAGCTCTGGATAGAGCTTTCTGATCTCCTCTTTTATAATACTCTAATTGTACACTCCTTTCTTCTTCAACTCAGGCACAGTAGCTTACAAACTGCTACAGCTTATTACTATATAGTACATTACTTACTTACACATCTACTCAGTGTCCTTCTAGAAGTTAGTAGCTAACATCTTAATGTCTTCAAAGAACTGTAGAAGTTCCTTAAGCTTACTACTATTAAAGTACAGTACTTCTCTTAATCCTCTTCTTAGCAGCCACATTATCATACTTCTTGTGTGTCAAAATGGTTGGTTTGATTCAAAACAAGTGTAGTAAGGCCCTCAAGACCAAGATCAAGACAAAAACAACCTAAACACTTTAGAACAGAGGCACTACCCCTTATAGTAGGCTCTAAAATAAGAGGCAAGGTTTTAGTAAGCTTGTTCCCTCTAGTGTTGTTGTAGGCTCTGGTCAAAAACTCCCCCTCCTATTCCAAATAGGAAAGAACTAACTACATGAAGAAAGTGATTATGTAATCCAAAGAATTAATAAAATTAAGAAGATCTGATAGTAACTAAAATCAGAACTCTTCAACAGTCTTCATCCTTACTTCTTACCTTTTAGTAGTTAGTAATTGTAGGAATTGTTCTACTGTTACATTCAAACCCTCAGTCTTGTTACTGTAGATACTGTACACAACCCCTATTAGCTCTAGATTGTCACCTTCTACTTTGTCATCTACTCCTTCTACCTTCTCAGTTTGTACAACTCTACAAGACTCTCCTCTAGCTTCCTGTTCTTATAGTCCTTTGTCTGCTTTATCTTCTACTCTTTCATGTTCCAGATCAGGTCCTTCTAGTGTATCTTAATGTATCCAATTCCAGTTCTGTTTCAGAATAACTACTTTCAGGAATAATCTATGTTGTGGTCTGCCAGAATGTATTACCTACAGTGTATCCTTGTTTACTTAAAATGATTTGTTAATAATGTTGTTGTGTGTCTCCTAGTGTATTGTATTTGAAACCCAGGACTGTGTTTCTATACACTTGACTAACAAAGCTTTGTGTTCTATAGACCTACAAATCTCCAGCCAATGTCTGTATTATATTGATTCTATTTCTACTGTGTAAAATCCATATGACTCATCAATCCAGTCTTTATAGGTTCTGTTGTCTGGGGGGTCTTTAGGTACTACTTAGTGTTACAATAATCCATCTGTACACTTGAAGTCTGATGCAAGAATGTGACAGAACTTGAAATTGAATAGTAAAATACTAGCTATTCAGCAATTGATTATAGTATTAGACTGTAGGTCAGGCTTATTAATCATTCCCTTCATGTATAAAGTGTTCATTTCCACAATTAATTTCTTGACACTTATGAGATATATGTGCAATGTATGAAGTGTGTAATAAAGTCCAAACAGCTCTATTTTTGCTTGCAAATATTGTACTTACATTGTGTTCCAGTTAATCAATCCAAATCAATTTATTCTCTGTTTGCAATCTGGGTGCTCCTAACTAATATACTATCCTGCTCTAATGATAGACAAATCTACTGTTAAGACTACTGAATACTCTGACTCATAGTTGATTAGTGTTAATGTAGGGCAATTTAAAACTGCTTCCTTGAGTGTGTCTATAGATTTCTGTACTTTATCATTCTAATTAAATATCAAATTCTTTTGTGTGAGTTAATTGAGTAGTTGTGCTAACTTTGCATAATTTCAAATAAAAACATGAAGCACTCCTACTGTTCTGAGAAATCCCCTTACTTCTGTAACACTCTTACAAGGCAGCCAATCCCTAACCTTCTGTATTTGTGATTCTTCAGTCTCTCTCCCTAAATATGTCAGCTTATACTTAATGAATATTGTAGATTTGTTACAAAGCATCATCTTCTTCCTAGAAAACGTCCCTCCTACAGCTTTCACTCTCTGCAAAATCCAGTTTACATCCATCAGATACTTGTATACAAACTTCTGTATTCCCTTGTTCTTAGAAAGTGTTTCCTCCATTCTGTCTACTTTCTCATATCTTGAGTAGGGTCCTATTACTAGAACATTGTCTGTGTATAGGTTTGTAACATCCAGAATCTTGTTACAAAGAATAAACACTAAGTCATTATACAGAATCTGTACTGAGTTAGTGTAACCTATTAGCAACACTGTCAAGCAAAACGTCCCTAGGAGTGTCTGAAACATTGTCAGATCTCTAGACTGCTCATCCAAACTCCTCTGATCAAACACAATATGTAAATCAAGTTGTATATAGTATGTACAACCTCTACAGCTTTCTACAATTAGTTCCATGTTTAGTAGAACAGTTGTGTCCTTTATTGTAACTGTGTTTAACCTCTACAAATTAATAATAAATTGTAAGGATACTCTGTCTTTCTTTGTGACACAAAACCATTACAATTAATACAAGGAATTCAACAGTTCTATTACTCTGTTACACAACTTCTCCTTCAACAACTCAATCACCCTCTTCTCAATTCTGTATGTGATTGGAATACTTTTCTCTACCCATAGTACATGCTTTATAGTCAGAATTTGAATAGGATTGAAATACATAAGGTCTAATGTTCCTTACTCCTCTTCTGTCCATACAAACACTTCTGACTATAGTATTAATAGGTTCTCTGCAAGCTTCCATTCTTCCAGCCATAGGAATCCTAATCACAATTCTCTAATTACTTGCATCTGTTCTTCTGTAAGTCTGCTAGTAGCTACAAAGGGCTGTAGTATTGTTAGTAATATAGGCATCCTGGCTAGAGGATTGGGGTACTGTTGTCTGACTATACAGAACTCCTTTGAAAGTACTCCAGGTATAGGGCACACCTTATTTGTGACTTTCTTGTAAGCCCACAAAACTGTGTTGAGTTTGTTATCCAGTGTATTAAGAATTACTAACTTTTGTAACTCTGCTACCTCTATCATTCATAATTCTGTAACTTGTGATCCCTGACTGTAATCCTGTATCCTATTTACTCTACTTCCTTCACCTCTTCCTCTGTATAGAATCATTACCTTACTATTACTCTTCCACTTGTTTATTCCTAATCTGCTTGTCATATGTGTATCTTCTCAGAATTGTAGCATTTCTGGTTCCTTGACACTTCTCAAAAATCTGTCTCTGGCTTGTATTATAGTACCCTCACTCTGGTGGACAGAGACTATCTCCTTGATGGATCATTCAGGTCCTAAAGTATTATGTACTACTCTCTGTTTGCAAAATCTTTGGTTTCACATTCTGTAGTTGTAAAGAACAGTCTACCTAGCAAGATCCTGAACAGAGCTTTCTGTACAACTTGTACTGTAATATCTATGTGAAGCATTCCTATAGAGAGTTACAACCTTAGAATCTGTCCTACAGTCAATCCCTGACCTGTGTCTACTGTTTTAAGTATAATAGTCATATTATAATCTAACAGAATCTTTAATACTTCCTATATGTCAGCTCAAACTATGTTCACACTTGAACCCTGGTCTAGCACACAATCTACCTCAATTTTTCTGTCTACTATTGTCTTGAGTATACAGAGTAGAAGCAAATAGTTGACTTTTACTAATGTGTTATAATACTACTACAGTGTACAAATGTTTGATCCTATAATGGGCAGTTCTCTACTGTAGAACATAGTGTTTCTATCCATTCAGTGTCTCAATATAACTAATTTGCAAGTCTTCTTCTAAAGCTCTGAAGACAATACAAGTAACTCCTACTGTATAATACACACTTCCTAGTCTAAACTGTGTTCTAAAACTCTTCTAGCTATTTCTGGGTCCTCAATTGGTACAATGTAACAGTACAGGTGCTCCTTTGTTCCAGTTCTGTCTTACTATATACTCACTAGTATTAGTCTAGTATCTGCAGGCTTTGCTACTTTGTAATCACACTCTTACTTTCCCTTCCCCTTTACATCCTTTGCTTTTGATTGTTCTACAACCTTCTTGTAGGCTTCTCCTAACATTACTTTAAGCCTTTCAAGCTCTACAAGGTTCTCCACCTCCTCCTCTTCTTCTTTATCAACCTCTACCATTGTAACTAGTACAGGAACTCCTAGACTGTATACTATAACTGGTACAGCCTGTATGAAACTAACAGAGTACATTTGTAACAACAGAAAGTAACTATCAACCTTTTCCTTCAAGGTCTGCCCTATCTCAGAAATAGTGTTTCTGTTAGCCATAATAATTTTATTGTTTAGGCTCTGTATACACTTCCTGTTTGTAATGTATTCTAACACTTTTGAGCAACTGTGTATAAAATGTCCAGATTCTCTACAAAACACACAACTTCTGTTTCCTGATCCTCTGCCTGAACCTCCACCATATCCTCCTCCTCCTGATCTTAGGTCTTACTTTATTGACTCTACTTGTGATTGTAGACTCTGAAGCACTTTTACAACACTTGTCAAATTAACTTCCTCCTGTTTGACCAGAATCACAGACTGACTCACAAGTGTATCTGATTTACTAACTGCTGTGAGTGTAGATCCCCTAAGGATCAACCCTGCTACAGTTACAACTTACACAATATTGTATGCAAGTCTGTCCTCATAGTTTGAATACTTGATTTCTAACTTCTGTATCAGTTTCTCTACAATTACTCTATAGAACACACACAGAAAAACATGGTAAGATTCCTCTAGTGACAGCTTACTGTTAGTTGTCAAATAGGTTGCTATAAGTATAAACTCTTAGTGGTACATCTCCAAATTATCCCTATTTGTAATTCCTCTCTCTGCCCATTTCTGTACTACAGTATCTAAGTCACTTCTAGCATATTATACTCCTGTCTTAAGACTCAGGTAATACACAATTACTCCTGTCTTAAATGTATCCTAAGATGCTTTATCTGTATTATCCCACAAATCCTCTACTTCTACAAGCATGTACTTCATTGTAAGCAGAATGATATTCACTCTGACTATGTTGCATTTGTTTGTAAGACTTTCCAAGTCTGTAAAATACCTCTACAACTCTCAGGGCTTGGTTCTGTCAAAGGACAGTACATTATGTGCTCCACAATGAGGCAGCTTCAGAATGTTCAATGTAGCCATTGGCTACACTGCTAGTCTTGGTTGTAATAGAATTTGTATGTTTACTTGTAGTTGCTAAAGTAGTTACACATTACTTACAAGTTGTTGTTGCTGCAACTGGAGCTGTGTTGCTAATAATACACTAGTTGCTAGTGAGAGTGATGATACTAGCTGCTAGACTGTCTCTGTTTCCTGTAGAGACAACTGTACTCTTCTACAATGTAGTGTTTCAGTTACAGTCAGTTGTAATGTTGATACAGTTTGGGAAAGTTGTAGGGTAGCTAGCAATCTTGTATACAATTCCAGGAACATGAAATGTAGTAGTTTGTTGCAAATTCAGAAACCAATTACTTAGGGATTGAGTGATAATACTACAAGGTCTTCTTCTTCCTCCTCTTTGTTACTGACTCGAGTGCTCTACTGTTCTGATGGTGTTCCTAAGGTTTCTGCAATATTGGATTCTGTACTTCTAGTGTTCAGACTATTAGACATTTTGTAGCACAATTGGATTCTAGCAGATCTGTGTGTTCTGCTCAATACAGGTACTGGTGCTGACTGTGACTGAGTTAACCTAAGCCTATGGGCTAGTGTCTGAGAAACCTGTTCAGGATGCTGAGAACTGTTAGAACTTGTGTTGTTTAACTATAGAAACCCCTCTCACAGTAGGCTCTAGATGAAACTCCTGTAAAGTGTCTAAGAGAAGAATACAGGTGATTTGTTAAGTTTGAGGGGGAGCTAAACCACAAGTATTATAAGACTAGAGTGGTTCTGAACAGGTGTGAGTTCTTCCAGCACAGTTGTGACCTTGGAAGAGAGATGTGAATAACAGAAAATGCACTTTACAAAGTACACAATAAACAATCTGATATGGAAGACAATAAAGACTAAGACTATACCTCACACTAGAGGACTTTAAGACAAGAGACAAGAGCTAAATCAATGGGTGAACTATCTGAATTCCTCCTGTATCTAGTACATGAGTAACTGTATTTATACTTTTCTGAGTTCTGGAAAAGTATAGTACTAACAGGGAAATGTTATGGCTGAACAAAAGAAAAATAACGAAATATACAAGAACAAATAAGAGAACCTTTTGCCAGAGGTTGGAAGAAAATGGGGTGAAAATGTATGAGGAAAATTTAAGTAGTCTGTATTCTAGCCACAGGAAATGTTATGTAAAAGGGAAAAGCAAGATTTACATTAAAAGAAGTATAAGGTTCTCATACTGTTATCATCTGATCAGTACAGACAAAGTGCAGAGAGTTCTGAGATTTCTGGCTGTCTCCTGAGATCATCACTTTGATTGCTCTAATGTCCTATCTGATTGGAAGATTGTAGTACTTTGATCCAGGCAATAATGACATAATAGTTTGCTGAGCCACTTACTGTGACACAACTTGTGTTCTGAGCCTGTGATAAGTACATGATCTGTACATCCTGTGAGGAAAACAATGTGTGTAAGCCAATTCTAAGACTGTACATACTTGTGGTTCTGTTTGTGAATGCTTACAATGTAGAATAGTTGGGTGTTCTCAGAGTAGGCTTCTATGAGTCACATGAGTGTTGGGAATTGATTGCTGTGATTGTCTGCATGTGATGTACAGTTCTTAGTGTGATGCTGATTGTTTCAATATGTAAGAATCTGTGTCATAGTCTGTAATTGACTCTAATTCTATGTAGTTCTTACTGTCCAAGTTGTCTGCTAACTTATCTAAAGTAGTGTAACCAATACTGACATTACTAGATAATGAACTATTATCCTGTACATTGTTCAATGTGATTGTATTACAAGTAGGACAATTCCTGGCTAAGTGATCATCTTGTTTGCAAATGAAACATAGTCCTTTTGCTCTCATTTTGTCCAATTTTGATTGGGAATAATGTTTGAAACCTGTAGTATATGTCCTATGATTGTTTTCTGTCTTACTTTCATACTAGTCATCATTCCTCAATAGATAATACAATTGCCTGGCCTTTCCTTTAGTGTTTGTACTGCTTGTATACATAGTATCCTGACTAGAGTCACTGTAATCTGAATCATTACTTTTACTATTCTGTAGAGTGAATTGATTGTTTCCTGAATTATTAGAACTGTCTGTATACAAATAATCACTCTGAGAATCATTACTACATCCTTACAGATGGAAATGTTGTCTGGAATCTTTGTGCCATTTGATTCCTATAGATTCATTTGCTTTCTTAATACTCTCAAGCCTATCCTTAAAGATTGAGTAATCTACTGTGTCTAGATTCAAGCAATCTAAT